AGAGTTGATGTCTCTTACTCTTTTGACCAGTGTTTAATATTCTAACTACAGTCCAGATGTAACATTTACACTGAAAAATACTTACAGATTCAACCTCATACTCCAAAAATTTCTAGTACAAATACAGTTAGTACATAAAAAAATGACCAACAACAAAAAAAAATAACAATCCCAGATGCTTTGTAACAGCACAGACTGGTTATGGCCTTGAGTTAAGTTCAAGTATTTCCCAGTGGAATGCAATGCAAGCAAGAAGGTAACCTGGCTTTTATGTGGGACATTCCTGGCCCTGAATGGTAAGAATGGAAATATAAGTGTGGGCACTTTATCTGTCCAAGTTTAGCAAGAGAGTCAACATTTTTGATTAGTTCAGCTACAAAGCTAAAACTGTCTTGTGTGTGAACAAAACTGCTAACTGTAGGGGGGAAAAAGCAAAGCATTAATTATACCATTGACATTTCTTCCATGGCTGATGCTCCATCATCTAACTGAAATTCCTCAAGCTGCTGGTTGTGTTTGGAATGATCATGATGGGGATTTTGCTTGGGGTTATGTGTATTTTGCCTCTTCATCCTTTTCATTCCCAAACTGACACACTAAAAGAAGGATTTGTTGCTCCTGCCCCAAAAGGAGTCATTCCTGCAGAGGCATTAAAGCATGTTGGTCACCTTTGTGGCAGTGACTCAGTGGAAAGAGCAATGTCCTAAAGGATTTAGAGGTCACAGAGTGGAGGAGGAAGGGGGAAGTCAACAACTCAGTATACATAGTAATAATAATAATAATCTTTTCTATTTCTAGAGCTCTCTGACTCGTGCTGACTCACACGGGATCTGGGAGAACCAGCGTCCCTCCTCTCCAGGCTGGGAGGAGTCAGCAGTGACCTCCAAGCTTGCAGGAAACTTTGCATCTCTCCCAGGCAGCACACAACACTGGAGCAGTCCTGCCAGGAATGTTCCCTTGTCCTTCACTCCCTGTCAAAATTCTTGGAAGACATGGAGAAACAAGATCAGCTCAATTTGGAAAGGATGTTATGCAAGGAAGTACTTCAAGCCTGATAGATGAATGGAGCTGGCTGGAAGGATGGCTGAGAGCGGTTACCCTGTGTCCCTGCTCCATGAGGAGGTTGTATTGATCACCCAAGAGTCTGCCCTGGCTCTAGTACTCATCAATATTGCAATGATTAACTCTCCCTATGGAAAACAGCGTGTGCGTATTAAATGTGATGGTGACACCAGCTAGGAGGAGGCTGCAAATCCACTGCAGGACTGACAGGTCATTCATAACCCCCTTGAAGCACTAGATCATGGTGTGACAATAAAAAGGCAGTTTCAAGGAGGGCAGGAAGATCCTAACTGTACAAACACAGATTTGGGTAGGGGAACAATCCCCATGCCTGCAGAAGGTGGAGTTTTGGGAAGATCCAGGATAGCAGATGGGTGCATGAAGAGGAACAGAGAGGGAGGTGGCCTGAGGACCAGAACCACCACACCACTGAGAAGGGGTGGACTGGATAGTGTTGGTTCAAAGACACAAGGGAAAACCTTGCCAGAAAAGCAGCCCTTAGAGAAAGGTTGATGAGGCTGGAATTGTTTAGCTTAAAGCAGATTTGGGGATAAAAAGAGTCTTCAAACACCCAAAATATGCAGACAGTAAAGGCATGAGATGTTCTCCATATCTTCTGAGGGCAGGAGACACCAGGGGTTGCAGTGAGGAGGGTTCATGTTAGCCATTAAGGAGTAATTTGATGGTGGCAAGTTGGCAAGAAGATCTCTGGTCCTTTCCTGCTCTAAGTGTCCCTGAACCTGCAGCCATGAAGCCCTGAGATCTCCTCCCATCAGGCGCTGGGGCAGCACGTACAGCCCTGCTCTATAAAGTGGGTTTAATGAGTTGATCAGATCTCTGGGACCAGGTTTTGGGGGTTTTGGCTTAAAATCTGCTTTCTCCACAGTGAGATGTTCACCAAGTTGGTTTCCTGAGACAAGAGCGAGGAAGGGACATTCCCATCCCTGTGTTTGGTGACCCACTGGTGAATCTGCAGGACAACAGGAGCTGAGAGGCAGATCTGAGTCATCAGGAATACTCAGGCCATGTCTGGGGCTGAGGGAGGTGTCACTGGTACGGGCAGGAGAAATCCAAAATTCAGACTCCTGCATAGGACAGTGCCTTTCAGCACTGTCTGGGAAGAATGAGTTTATCCAGGGCCATGATATTACTGCTCATCATAAAGGAATCAGAAGAACCCAGGCAGCATCCAAGCATGGTTCTCCTCAGAGCTTCCATCCTCCCTTGGGATCATGACTTTAAACACATCCTGTTTCCCCTGGGACACAGGGCTGGGAATAAAAGAGAAGTCACATTGCTGTGGAGGACAAGCTTGTGCCCTGGATAATGACTTGGGAGCAAATTTTCATCCAGGAGCACCTCTGCTCTCCTGTCCAGCAGCCTGGGCTGTGGACCTGCAGGAATTTATAGCAGGGGCCAGCAGCCTGCGCTGCCCAGCATATCCCCAGCCAGGAGAAGACATGTTCCTGCACACGGGACAAGGACAAACAGCACAGATGGATATGTTTGTCTCACCACCACCATGGTGTGAACTTTCTGAGCCTTTCCTGCAAAATTCCCAGCAGAAAGGGATGGATGTGTATTACTAACCACCATTGCTGCTGGGAGTGATGTGCTGATCCTCCTCCTGGATGCAGTTACCCGTTTTCAAGGGGAAGATCTCTAACAGCGAGAGCAAACAGCATTCCAGACATTTCACCAATGCCTTCAGCTGGACCAGGAACAAGCCTGGAAGTGTTCCCCAGATTGTTAACACAAAGCCACACTGAATATTTGCAGATGGATAGGATGTTTCTTTGCTTTCGTTTTAATTCTACATTTTTGCTTCCAGGACTGTTCTCTAATGGCAAGGAACAGGTCAGTCAAGGTTCCCAGGAGCTGAAGGGCATATCCAAATTCTCTGCATGTTCCCCAGAATGGCCAAAGAGCTTGGACACTTGGAGAACAGGCATCCTCAAGGCTTTCAGGGACTGATCTCAAGGGCATGAGAAAGATGCCCAGCAAGAAGTCATATAAATCCAATGGATAAGAAATACTGGCACAGGGACCTGCATACGACTTTAGGTGGCTGACACAGCCCTGTGGGAACAACTCACCACAGGGATAGTGTTGTGTTCAGGGAGGATTTACTTCTTTTGCTTTAGGTTTGGTCTTGAAGACTCTGCCTACTTGGGTTCTCCATGGTGATCAATCAACCATTGGATTCTTGGGAGGTTGTAAGAGTATCTGCCAAGCCACAGTTATCTTGGGAACCTCTCAGGGATCAGACCCACTCTGATATGTGGCAGAGTGGGGCAGCTACTGGTTTCAGCCTCTACCACTTGGCAAGAGATGCTCCTTGTGCTCTCAGTGATGATGTCTTTTCTCTGTTTTCTGTCACTGGAGGGGACAAAGCCACAGCCCTGCAGCTATGCAAGAGATGTGGGATGAAACCCTCCTGACAAAGCACATCTCAGCACTAGTAGGAGCCTTGAAGCTCAGCAGCTTGATTTTAACATGCCCCCAGCCTACTGTAAGTAGTAAACAACTCTAAAACCAAGCAAGCTTAAAAAAGGTCCACACAAACTAGGGAAAAACTTCCTGCTACTGTCCTGATCCTGTCCCCACTGAAGCCAGATCTTCTTCAAAGCCCCTCAAGCAAGTGTGGGAAACCTGCCACTTCTCTAGGTGAGGCTGGAGGCTAAAAGCCCAACAACTGCTCCAGGATGAGATCAGCCACAGTCCTGGACCAGCTGGGTTTTCCCAGGGGAGGTGGAAGGCTGTAAAATGACCAGAGGATTGATATTACATTTATATATATATATCTATGTCTATATTCACACACATGTTCATATGTGTCTGTATATATACGTACAGGTACACACACACACACCATAAACACACTATGCATAGATCTGCCATCTGCCACTATTTATAAGGGTTTGATTAATCAGAAAAACAAATTTGCTAACAGTGATTTTCCTTGATTAATCAGAAAAACAAATTAGCCAACACTGATGTTCCAATCTCTACTAAAATTCAGCAAATTAAGAAGTCTAAACCCTTTACAGTTTTGTTTTCCTGGTTACATAAAGGCACTTTCTGATGATGTGAAGCAGCAGTTTGTTAAAAACTCTGTAACTGTAACTATTCCCATCATATCTGTAGCAAGTGCTACACAGGCACCGGTAGGACACAATGTCACTGCTCACTCCTGCTCTGTAGTGTTGGAGCAGATTTGCTTTTTGCTTCGACACAGAGGAATAAAAGATGAAACCTTCAGAGCTGTGCTGTGTTTTTAGGTCTCCCTGTGTGAGACAGTCACTGTGTTTCTGCCCCATAACCTGATGTGGTGCCATCTCCTGGCTTGCAGCATCAAACGATGCCTTCGTTTGCAGCGACGCCTGCTAGAGCATCACCTGGCAGTTCAGGCAGGACATCAGCTGTAAGCATGTCACGAAGGTCCGTGCAATATGTCAGTTGTTTTCTTATCAAAGGGTCAGAAATTAATTTGATTAAGGGTATTTAGTAATTAAATACTGCCTGACCTGCAGCACTCAAGCCTTGCCATGCAGGAAGGCAGCTGCTCTCTGTCAGCCTGACTTCCCTCCTGAGCCAGCAGCAGCTCCACTTCCCACCACAGTGCCTTGTCAGTCTCTGTTGGAGCTCTGGTGGTGACTGAAGGGTGGGAGATGCTGGGGGTTTGCTGTTACTCTCTGGAAGTTCCTGTTACTCACTGAAGGTTCCCAGCTGGAGAACATGGAAACAGGGAAGAAATGTTTTTTGTTAACGCACTGGGAGACAGCACTAAATTGGTCTGAAACTCCTTTTCTCTCTTGACTTCCACACAAAAATTGCACCTGTGCCCTGCGAAAGGAACACAAGATAATACCAAAACCCAGAAACAAACCAAAATAAAAACCCCACTTCAGCTGCCCTCTCTCTCCTTTTAGGTGAACTTATATCCATACAGATGTCTTTCCATCTTTACTGCTGGAGCTCCCTTTCTCCAAGGAGGCCTTGGGTTTAGCACCTTGTTTCTCCTGGGCGGTGTTGGCCCTGTTCTGCTCTACCACTGTGCCACCTGAGGCAGGACTGCTGGTTCGAGAAGGCTGAGTGTTGGCCTGGGTGCTGCTATAGCTCTGAAACGCTATGTCCAACTGCTCCTGGGCCACTCGCAAGTGTTTGTGAAGGGTGGACAAGTCTGCCGGGAGGTTCTCATCTGGGCTAGTGCACTGCTGCTCCTGAGCGACGTTAGCCAAGTTCTGCTCATGAGCCATCAGGCTGTTGGGGATCTTGGTGGACTTCTCTGATTTCACAACCAGGTTGTACTCAGGAGGGCAGGAGATGTTCTTTGGGTAAGCGTAGTTGTAGGGAGGCTGCCTAAAGCTGTTGATTTTCCGGTTGCGAATGGCATCTCGGATGGTCCCAAAGCCCAGGTGGAACATCTCACACATGTTCAGCAATAAGCACAGGCAGCTCACGACGTACATCACCAGGAGAAAGATGGTCTTTTCTGTTGGCCGGGACACAAAGCAGTCCACAGTGTGAGGGCAAGGGACTCTGTTGCAGACATAATAAGCTTCTACCTCAAAACCATAGAGCAAATACTGCCCTATCAAAAAACAAACTTCAAAGGAAGCTCTGGTAAGGAGCTGGAAGACATAAATTTTCATCAGTCCTTCTTGCTGGATGCGCCTCCTGCCATCATGCTTTTGTTGCTCTTTGCACTTGGGCTTGGGCTTGGCTTTCTCATGTTCTGCTGCGTCATCAGAGATCATGGGCTCCTCTTCGTCAGCCTCCAAAGCATCCTCCATGTTGCGCACCGCCTGCCAGTTCAGGGCAAACTGCTTCTTCTTCTTGAACCCCTTGAACTTCTTCTCCTCCTCTGCTGACCTGGCAATCCTGTGGATGGCATAGCCCAGGTACATGACCGAAGGGGTGGATATCATGATGATCTGGAAGACCCAGAACCTGACGTGCGACAGCGGTGCGAAGGCATCGTAACAGACGTTGTCGCAGCCTGGCTGCTTGGTGTTACAGGTGAACTTGCTCTGCTCATCGGAGTAGATGGACTCACCTCCCACCGCTGTCAAGACAATGCGGAAGACGATGAGCACAGTGAGCCAGACCTTCCCCACGAAGGTGGAGTGATTGTGAATCTCTTCTAGCAGGCGGGTTAGAAAGCTCCAGCTCATGTTGGTCATAAGGGCTACTCAGTTATAACCTGCAGGAAGAGGGAGAAAGAAAAGACATAGCTGTGAGGTGACATCTGTGGCTGCAGTCAGTGATATGGCTGTGACAGTGGCACATCTGTGACACTTGGAGTCCTTTTATCCAAACAGACACCTTTCACTGCTGCAGCCCATCTCCCCAGGACCTGTAAGGGCTCATCAAGAAGGCCAATGGCATCTTGGCTGTATTTGCCATCATGTGGCCAGCAGGACCAGGGCAGTGACCATCCCACTGTGCTGGGCACTGGTGAGGCTACACCTTGAATCCTGGGGTCCATTTTGGGCCACTCATGACAAGAAAGCCTGGCTGGAGTGTGTCCAGAGAGGGGCACAAAGCTGGGGAAGGGTCTGGAGCACAAGGAGTGGCTGAGGGAGCTGGGGGGAGCTCATCCTAGATTAAAGGAGGCTCAAGGGGGACCTTATTGCTCTCTAAAACTACCTGAAAGGAGGTTGGAGCCAAGTGGGAGTTGGTCTCTTCTCCCAGGTAACAAATGACAAAATGAGAGAAAATGGCCTCCAGTTGTACCAGGGGAGGTTTAGATTGGGTATTAGGGAAAATTTCTTCATGGAAAGGGTTGTCAAGCAGTGGCATAGGCTGCCTAAGGCAGTGGTAGAATCACCATCCCTGTAGGTATTTTGGTGTGTGGATGTGACACCTGGGGACATGGGTTAGTGGTGGCCTTGGCACTGCTGGGTTAACAGATGGATTCCATGATCTTACAAGACTTTTCCAACCTAAATGGGGAAAAAGGTGTGGCCAGCATGGGGATGTACTGCACCACTGTAACTGGAGGCAAAGATGCCTGGTGGCACTAGATAAATACAGATGAATAACACAGCAAGCCACAGCACTCACTAAATTCACCATTACCCACTTTGGTACTCGTTTCAAGACATTGCTCAGCTGTAAGAAGGGTCTGAGTGACCGTAAAAGTGAATTCAAAGCACTGTGGAAGCCACCTAGGCACAAAAAGGTGTTTAAATTGGGACAAACTCTTGCTTGCATGCAATGGGCTCAAGTGCCTGAGCTGAAAGCAGGAGCAGAGGATGCTGCTCACATCACAGAGACTTGCACTACTGAAATATCTTTCATTAGCTAACCCAGAAAAATGCAAAGAATCAGCAAAAGAATGGGAATATTTATGTTTACAGGCCGATGGCCCTTTCAAGTTCCTTTTGGAAAAAAACAAAACAAAACAAAACTTTAATCAAATGCAGACTGGCTCAAAAATAAACCCTGCAAAGCTTTCAAGAGAAAACCATGCATTTATTAGTAGACCTGGACAGCTGGGGAGGAAGAGCTTGTAATAACCATTTTATGTTTAGCTTAACTTGCAGTGGGGCCTCAGCCTGAGCACCTTGGGTGACCCCAGGCATTACTAAAGGCAGGAGGGAACTTGCCAGCTTGACTGGCACAGTTCTCACAGATATCCGGAGATGAGTGATAGGGAAAGCACTTGGACTCAAAGAGCACTGGAAGTAGAGAAGAGATAAGAGAAAGGTGTTGTCCGTACATTGAAGGAGTATGGACATCAAACCTAACCCTCAAGCTGGATGAGTGGGAACGAATATCCATGAGGGAAAATGATCATAGAAACACAGAATCACAGAATGGTTTGGGTTGGAAGAGACCTTCAAGACCATCTCGTTCCAACCCCCTGCCATGGGCAGGGACATCTTTCACTAGACCAGGTTGCTTCAAGCCCCATCCAACCCAGCTTGATGATGCCATGAGACATAAGCCTGGTCCTAACTTGGCTTTGCACTACTGGAGATGCAAAATTGTGCCTTAGGGTTTCCATGGCCCAAGCCATGCTGTGAGCCCAATGCCAATCCCAGGCACAGGGTGGGAGCAGCCATCAGTGTCACCTCACAGCCTCACACAGGAGCAAGAAGGGAAATGCGCCTTGCTCTGTTCTCCACATCAGGCCTTTGTGGAATGCAATTTTGCTCACGCTGCTTCTTAGGACAGGAGCCAAGCAGTGCTGGTTTGCTCAGTGCTCGCCTTTGAGCTGCCCTGGGAGGCAGCAGAGTGGTCTGAGTCTCAAGACACAGTGAAATTCTTCTGCTGTTGAGGGCTCTTAAGAGCAGGCAGATGGAATTTTCTAACCCTGCTATTTCTAGATCAAACAAATCCTCTGCGAACCCAAACCCCCAAGTCTTCACACGCCAGACAGAGCCTCTGGGAGTGCACTGCAGATGGTGTTATTCTTGTCCTGTAGCTGGAGAAACTGAGGCAGGGAGCAGAGGAACAGCTGGGTAATCAGCCAGAAGAATTGCAGAATCACAGAGCATACAAAGTTGGAAGGGACTACAATAATCAAGTCCAACTCTTGGCCCTGTACAGGACATCCCTGAGAATCACATGGTGTGCCTGAGAGCACTGTCCAAGCGTTTCTTGAGCTCTGTCAGGCTTGGTGCTGTGTTCCACTGCCCAGCCACCCTCTGGGGGAAGAACCCTTTCCTAATACCCAACCTAAACCTCCCCTGACACATCTTCAGGCCATTCCTTTAGGTCATGTCACTGGTTGCCAGAGAGCAGAGATCAGTGCCTGTCCCTCCACTTCCCCTTATGATGAGGTTGTGTACAGTGAGGAGGTCTTCCCTCAGCCTCCTCTTCTCCAAGCTGAACAGACCAAATGACCTCAGCCACTCCTCATACAGCTAAGAAGAGGTGGGAAAGTACTGCTCTCTACCCTCAACTTACGTAGTGAAGAACAAGAGCCCTCTAAGCTACTGGGACCAGAATCTCCATCTCCTGCCCCAAAAGTGGTGCCTTGGACCCACTGGTCAGTACAGAAACACTGCAGATGGGACAATTCAGCCACTGCAGAACATGGAAAGTGACCCCTGCTGAGCTGCTCTTTATTTATTGAGGAAATTGGGTTTATTCAGGTGTGAGATGGGAAAACATCCCCTCTGAGTGACTTTTTTGCATCTTTGCAGTGGATACACCCAAAGTGTCTTTAACCCCTTCCTTTGTTCTGTGCCCATTTGGATGTGGGCAAAATGATATGCAGGATTAATCCAGGCACTCAGCCAAGCTCCAACTGACAGGGGGCTGGGAAAGGAACACCCTGCTGGGTGCAGTGATGTCCTGCTGTGGGACATGATGCATCTGTCTGTGGAGCATCCTGGCCAAGGCAGAGCTGGGGCTTGGATCTAGCACGCATTAGCCCCACCTTGGCTGATGCCATGTCAATGTTCAGACCTCACCAGTTCCCATCTGTATCTTCATTTAGCTGCAAGACCCAAATTGTCCTAAAACAGGACTCAAATGTCCTGTAGAGCAGTTCATTCAGGATTCAGTGCTCACCTAAAGAGTTTCTGAAGTCTACACTGAGTATAATATACTGCTTTGCATGTGTTACTCAAGGACACAATTCCCAAAGCTCTGACACATCTCCCAACAGCGTGACTGGAGCAGAGAGGGTCCAACCAAGGTAATGATAACTTTTTGAGTAATATATTCAAGTTTTGAACTGACATTCATCAGAATTGTTAGCAAAGCAACCACTGTCTCCTCTGGGAAACATGTTTTAGAAAGGAGCACCCAATAGTGTTGATCCCCAACACTCCCAAACCTTCTGAGTCAAGGAAAGGGAAAGAAAATAAAATACAACAGAAGTGGTGGGTTGTTGCCTTGAGAAGACAATCTCTGGCTACCAGCCACCAGCCCAATCCACTGGCTCTACCACTGACACTGCAGCTCAGCCCTTTGTGCACATCTGGATCTGGAGGAATATCTGCAGAAAACAGCCACAAGCTGTTTCTGTGCCCCTGGGACCCTGCTGTGCCCTCTGTGTGTGATCACACCTTGATGTTACACTCTCCTGGCATCGTGTTTCAGAGCAGGAGCTGAAGAAATTGAGTTAAAAATCCCTCCTACAATCAGTTCAGTTAAACTTCAAGTATGTTTTTATGGCTCACTGGCTGGAAAGTCTATACTATGAGATTTCAATGCCTTTAGTTTCTTGGGGAAAGTTAGTGCACCATGATATTTTGGGATCTACTATAAGGCAAATAAACTTTCAAGGAAAGATTTGTTCACAGTGCTGATGAATAGGATGCTCCTAGAAAAAGTCTGTGTCTCCTCTCCTCACATTCCCAACCACCGAAGCACAGAAAACGGATTTTTGCATTTTTCCATGTGGCAGACCTAATTCCTCTGTGCAGTGGGAAAGTTACACAGTTTTGGGGAAAAAAACCCTATGTGTATCTGCAGCAGGTAGATGGATTAGATTAGGTGGTTCATGCAGCTCAATTGTCAACCAAAGAAAGGACACACTGTCCCTCTGGCTTTGAAATCCATTCATCCATCCATCCATCTTCACACATCACCTCCAGATTAGCTGGCATACAGTGCATGAAACACAGGTTACAAGTCACACTTCAAAACAGCTACAAAGGAGGAATTGGACTGCTCATACCATCAGCAACACTTAAAGTAGTCAACACTGTGTGTAGCCAGGTAGAGGAAGGAGCTGTTGGCTCCAAGTTCTCATCACAGGAACTTCCCAAAACCCGCTGACTGCCTATACAATCACAGGCACAACTGTTGAAACTAGGAAAACTTTCAAACCTGAGTCTAAAACAAGCCAAAGGAGGAAAAAATAAATCTGTGCTAGCTGGATGACTTCCCTTTCTGCACAATTCCCACACCGCTGCTTAAACTGTAGGTAAAACAATGGGGGGGATCTACTTACAGAGACATTGTGCTTCCCGCGGTGGCTTTCCCTCCTCCACCGACATTCCTGTGCCACCAGCCCTGCACCCTGCCCTAGATAAACTCCTGCTGCCTCGGTCCGGCCATGCCCCGGCGGTTGGAAACCGGAGCTCGAGGGAAGTATTTAACGCGCTGTCAAACTCCTCCTCCGCCCGGAGCAGCAGCTCCTGCCCGACCCCAGCGCGGTCCCTTCGCGCACTCCCCTCGCCAAGCCTTGGGAGAAGGAGGGAAGGTGCTATATATACACACCGTGGAAGAAAG